AGGGAATAGACTAACCTGCAGTAAGTAGGCGAGAGAAGAGAAGATACCTTGAACGACGATCTTGCACCTGCACGTACAGGAACTGAGGTACAAAGATTGTGAGCCTGAAAACGAGCAGATGCAACTGTTGGTGAAAGAAGCGTATGGAAGAGCCGTCGGCAGTGACCGGGAATAATTTACAGTTTAAGTTTACTAGCGTGCAATTACATGGTTCCCCAATCTGCCAGAGGGTCAGGGGCTTTTCGTGTCATTTACCGGGTACAACGTCTCCAAAGTTTTGATTCAGTATCTGTAACGGATAGCCTCCAAGTGGGCCCTACACACCCTCTCGTAGTTAAAATGGGTCACTGTGAAGTATCTAAGGAAAGGTTGGGTTGTCCGATATATTGTATTGTACAGGATCGTAGCAAACTAGCCCCCCAAAATAAACACATGTTTCCGATAAGCAGTAAGATGGGAGTAACATAAGTTTAGCGAATAATTCTAATAGACGGTAGTTACGCAGCTACCTCGATAAATCCAATAGAACAAAGGTGGAAGTTGGCAACACAATGCTTTCTTTACACTGCTCTGGCATGGCGACTTACAATAGGGACTGCGACATCAGAGCCCAAGCACAAGTGGATAGACTCACTTTGCATGTACATCCCACACTTTGGACCCAGTCAATAAACTGAAGTCTCCACGGAGTTGTTCCATAACAAGTAACCTAATGCGTTTAAATAAGGAGTAGCTATTCAAAATTTCGCTCCCATTCGTGATGATATATTTTTGACACACTAGGTCACTTGGCATAGATTTGATGACGTGTAAGGGTAACTTTATAGCGCCTCATGACGGCTTTACATTCAATATTGTACAGGGTTATGGTGCGAATTCAACTCGGAGGTCGATGCTACTTCGCCTGAGTCAGGCGATAACCAACTGGAACCGAGTGATACATACTGCAACCTCTTGGCGTGTAAATGTACAGGGTAATGCTAGCTAACACACTCAGACTCTGGGATCCATAATGCCGTATAGTTTCAGACCACAGAACTGGAGCCGCCGCACAACTTGGCGTGTATAGAAGCCAGAGTTTTATAGAGTCAAGTTTCTGTTTCAGAGGCATAGCAACTGAGGCTTTTCGTACTGCATGCCATATTTTTCTTATGTTTACCGTATTTGTATGTATTCCCACCGAAATATGTATACAAATGTTCGATGCCGAACCGCATTTCAAAACCTGTCTCCCAAACAACTCAACATACTGGACTACCATCAACAACTACATTATAATATCTCGCGAGAGACATTAAATCATCTACTTCCAACACTTCCAAAACTTCTTGACAATATGAAAGCCTCAAATGTCTTTCTTGCCGTCTTCCCTGGCCTGGCCATTGCTGCTCCGGCTCTCGACGCCCGTCAAAACATTGATAAGGCGAATGAGGCACTGAAAGCGCTTGACGACCAGACTTCAGCCGTAAAGGCAGACACAGAGAAAAATCTCCAGGACCAAGCATACAGACAGGCAGTATGGACTGCGAGGGTTAACCGAGAGGTTGATTTCTCGGATAAATTAGCAGAGCTTCTAAAAGACCAAACGGAGGCAAAAGATGTGTTGAATCAATTGAAGGATGAAATTATTGAGTCAAAGAAGAGTGCTGTTGAAGCACCCGCGAGACTGGAAAAACAGGTTAGCCACTTCGTCTGGACAGTTGATTGTATAATTTGTATTACAGACAAAACTAATGCAGTGAACTACAGAGACAGAAGCGAGAGCAGAACATTCAGGACTATGAGAATATTGCGAATGACTTAAGGGAGGCATTCAGGACTATGAGAATATTGCGAATAACTTAAGGGAGGCATTAAAAGCCTAGATACTCTCTTACTATTACTAGGCTGCAACATTTGGTCTAAGCTAAATGAAGCCCAATTAGAAGAAGCTATAGCCGTTGTATGGAGTTCTCTGTTGGAGCTCAAGCTCGACCGGCGATAGTGTGGTTGGATAATTCTAAAATAGAGAAACGTGCATTCTATTAGTTACACGAGTTCTCATGACCATCGATGCTATTTCTCTTAACCTAAAGTAGGTGTAAAGCCTTGATTACTGCCTCTCCGCCATATCATAGGAACGGAAGTGTACCGTTCCCGGAATATGTTTTGCTCTTATTTCAACTCAGGTTAAAACCTCCA